GGCTAATCTATACTATCTCACTGTGTCCAGCTGTCCATCCATCTCAGAACACACACAAGTTCAACGGTGGAGTAAAGAACGCGGATGCTCGGCGCATTTCATGAAATCGACCCTATGATTACCATCTTTCATGCAGACTCATTATTCCCCGATGATGCACTTATGTTCTTTGCACAACAACTTGAACTGCCCTGAGCAGATGGACTAAATGGACACTTTTGATTTACCTCCATTACGTTGTGTAAGGAGTTGTTAATGTTAACTCTAGCAATTTGTTTTTGTTGCATCTCTTGTTACAGAGACTTCCATTAGACAATATAATAACACATAGAAAATATTATGCCTTCATACAGGAATCCACTAAGCTTCAGCTTAATGTAAACACTTTCAATTAATTCCATTTCTAGTTTTCATTTTCATACAATTAGAACTGTTGGTGGTCGAGTTGCATTGTGGGTAATGTAGACACCAGGGTTTGATAAGGAAGAAGAATGTGTAGATTAAAAAACTCTGTCTTACTCGGTATGTATTTGTATCCTTTCTTTTAAACTGTTCATTGCGAGTCTAACAATGTTATGTCTTTAATGTAATATAGCAGACTTCCCAGCATGCACTGTTTGAGAGTTAAAATCTCCAGACACCCACCAAATATGAACAAGGCCACTAGAGCAGATTGACATGTTCATTGTTAGATCAATATAAAACAAAAAATGTGCAACTAAACAGCTACACTTAATGATCATTACACTTCATTTATCTGTTTCACAATTCTTAAAACTTTTTTTTTAGACCACAAGAAAACTTAAATGTTTACCTTAAATCAACATAAAATGTTGTACAGTGTATTCCTACAAAATAACAGCTACCTGATCCAAAAAAAGACCCACTATTACTGAAGTGAGTAGACCTCTTGTTAACAAACAGCCCCTGATTGACACAATCAGGTTTCTTTCTGTGACGAAAAATGAGCAATTACCCTGCATTGTTCCCTGCATGGATATGTTGTGTTTTGAAATACAATGATTACATACCAAAATGTGTTTTTCTCTGGTAATGTTAGAACAAAAACAAACCCATTGAAAGTCTGAAAAGGTAATATTCTCCCTCCCTGTTGTTTCTGCCTACTCTCAATATGGCCATTACTCTTCCCTGCACTGTGCCTTTCATTAGAGCCAGTTTAGTGCCTCTGATATACCGTCAAATATTTCAGCATTACAGATAATGCAGCATTTACCCGCTCGACAATTAATTCCTCTGACATCTGAGCACATCAATATTCATTACCCAGTGCCATTTGTGACAATCCGCCGCCCCCGTGCACTGTAGATATGATAGTGAGATGGTGCAGAAATGTGCCGGGGGTTTTTAAGGGCACCGAAATGATTAATCGCTATTTGTCTGTTTGGTTTTGAAGGCTTGTTGTTTAAGGTCTCTTGAGTTCTCCGTCTGTATTTAATGTGTTTAAGTGCATGTTTAATGTCAGATATAGTACACTACGAATTACAGATGACTATTTTAGTGCAGAAAAAATCATACTGTTAAGCACTCCAGTCATGAATGTGTTGTGTTGTTGGAGTAAGTCATGAACGTATTATTATTACGTATGCTTCTATAAATATATTGGGCTTAATTGGACATGCATTACAATTCAATTCAATTCAAAACCTTTATTTATCCAGGTAAAATCCCATTGAGATCAATGATCTCTTTTTCAAGGGAGACCTGCAGCAGTAGGTTCCACAAGAAGACATAAACAACAGAACAACAAAAGGACATCATACAGCAAAATGTACAGGGATTACAATTTACATATTAATTACATAATTACATTATTATTACATTTCCGTTGGAACATATTTGCTGCACATTGTTTAGTAGTATGCTTCTTTCATTTAAACTTCAAATCTGCCTAGTTAGGTACTGAGTCTTCAACGCTCAGGGTTCCCACAGCACATGAACACCCCTCAGTTCAGCCTTAATGTGGTTGTATACATATATATATAGACACTTTACCCGCATTTGCTCCTGTGGGTAATGTCCGCAGTAATGACTCTTACATGTCTAATATGTGTAATGTGTACTTGTAAAGCACTTTGAGCACCTGTAAAAGCGCTTTAATAAAAAAAAATGTAATGCATTATTATTATTATTATTATATGAGTGAAAACGAGCTAGCAGTTAATATATTCTGCAAAATGTGATCCTTTGAAAGGTTCAAGTTTACTGGAGTTATGCATCTAATATTTAATGAAAATGTATATTTATTTCATTTATTCTAAACATATTACAAAGAGGCAAAATAAAATATATATATAGCAAGCACTCATTAAACAAGATTGTTCACGTTCATCCTACCAAACACTTACTCATCCCTACACCTCTACACAATGTTCTGAAGGCTACATCTTCTTTAATTGTATAATGTTTGGAATTTGCTTCTAAAGCCAAACTATCCAACCCAACAATCGTTATACACACTTTTTATTGTGGTATGAACACAATGTTTTTGAAATAAAATGTTCTTGAAGTCTATAGCCAGTCGCTTTTTCACTTCATCGAAATGTTAGGCAAGGGGGCCGGGTCTGCGTAGCCGGCGTAGAGCATGCAGGAGGCAAGAAGGTCGCAGATCTGCCTACACCGCGGCCACGTAGCGGCTTTTGGAAACGCTGCATGGAAACAACACCATCAACACGTTCATTCGCTAACAGAGAATTCATCAGGGAATGAGCGGTTCTATTCACACATGGGCATAATCGCACTTCGGACGTATACTAAACTATGTTACAGGCCGGGTAAAGACTGTTTGATGTCCAGTCCAAATGTTTGGGGTGCTTGCGTTCTCACTTACAGCTCCTCCGGGTCATTTTTGGATAATGTCAGGGTTGCAGTGGATGTGTGAAAGTGGCTCTCGAGACCTTGTAGATGGCCGCCGAAGGGAGCATAACGTCACCTGAAAGCTCTCTTACGGTAAATGTTGGTTAACTGCAGTGCGGATTAGCTCAGGGGTTGCTTAAGTGCAAATTGCTCCACTTAACGGTCTGACAGTATGGCAGCTTAGTAACTCTGGGATGCGAGACAGAATGCTGCCAGGTATAAAGCTCTTAAAATACCATAAGACTGTGACCTATGTGAGGTTGAATATGTAAAGTTAAATACTGGTTGTCTCTTTGAACTCAGGAGAAGAACATATATTCATATTTTTAGCATTTATGAACCAGAACATTCCCTTCAGAGACATCGTATGAAGACCGGTTTAGAGCATCAGAACCGTTTAATGGCTCAGTTTTCACCTCAAGCTACCTTTAAGCGTTAAGCAGGACTAGGTCAGACTTGACAAATAGGTCATGGTGCACATTGAGCTACAGAAATGTGCTCCTAATTGAAAAATGTGTGGAACATTGGAAGAAGACATGGGCAGAGGTGAAATTAATCCCAGAGTGTGATGGCTCAATGTGTTTCCAATCCCTTTAAAAGTCTATTGCTACAGATGAAGGGGAAGACTTTCATTTGGCCCATTTCATGACATTATAACAAGCAGTTTAAAGAGCATTAAAGGGGAGGAGGCCGTGAGAGCAGGGCTCCTCGGCAGATGTTATCTTCCACAGAACCAATGTGAAACACTGCAGATAAAATCATTTAAAATAATCTGCATCTGGTTCCTGTCAGGTAACTGAAGTTGCAGTTCTTGTTTGCTTACTTTTTCAACATGTTTTAAAGTAGGAATCCCGCCGAGAATAGAAATGTTTTTCGTCAGACACCTGGCCAAGATAAGCGGACTTAAACAACCACCTGTCTGCTACGTGATGAATATTAAGTTACACACGGTCACGGCACAATAATGTGCAAAAACTCAAATGCAATTAGGAAAAGGGATAAAAGGCAAACACTAGGTACAAATCCAATATAGGAGGCATGACTTCTGGAGCAGACGGTTATATAAGTGGCAGCAAGATGAAGATTGCAGTATGCTTCAAACAAACTAGTGTGTAGCGCATGCCTTCCAACAACTCTGAAGGTTTAACCTGATTACATTTAAAGGATGAAAAGCATCCCCACTGGCTGCCACCTTGACCTCCTTCCCAGATCTCTATGGCTATTGTGTCTCTGCAGTGAATTGTACAGCCAATCGATAATGTCACACCCTTTTAGAAAGTCTCTCCTGAAAGGCATGCATGGCAAGTACAAGCTTAACAAATAAAAAGGTGACAAAAGTAGAACAAAGAGGGTGTTCAACACAATACTGTATAGTTGCATTCAGACTGCAGAAAACATGGCATTTTGACGCTGCATCGAACAAACAGAATGAATAACGGAGCTTAGTTTTTTCCTACAGTGCTGGTTGTGATCAGGACAATCCAACAAACGTTGTGTTTGAGGCATAATCAGGCCCTGCCTAATTCTTCTCTACAACTCTACAAATTCAATAAGTCAGCAGCCAGCCGTTGGCAGACCAGCCAACACAGGGCTGTGATTTAATCAACAGTGAGTCCATCCAGGTCCTAAAGCAGTGCTTCTCAAAGTGTGGTCCGCGGACCACTGGTGGTCCGTGAGTATATTGGTAACATTTCACATTTGAAATAAATAAATACATTTACGTTTTCCGCACTCTCGCGGGAATATCTCCGCAATGGAGCGAGCTAAAGTTTCACTTTTGATGGCATGATATAGCCCAGCACAACACCTTCATCACACTTTCTGTTACTTGTTTGTACCATTTTCAGGCGATTTGTAATCTGTTCTAGAAAAACGATGCGATTTTGGATATTTGTGGAGTTAGGTGGTCCGCGAGTGTTTTTTTATTGGTTAAGTGGTCCTTGGTATGAAAAAGTTTGAGAAACACTGTCCTAAAGTGATTGCATGTTGTGTGCAGCAAATGTAAAATGCCAAAAAGGTGTTTTTTTTGGGGTCCAACAATCATCCTCAACAATGGCAGCAGCTATAAAAAGACCACAACAAAGAACATGTGTTGGGGAATGTGCAGCAGGCAGGAAAACACAAACCTTTCCTGTCGGTGCCGATGGGGACCTGCGAGGTGTTGATGCCCTTGGCGATCTCTTGGTTGGTGGTTTCCTTGGTGACCACTGAGCCTTTGAGCTTACTCTTCGGAGAGTCCAGGGCTTTTAGCTTCTTGGCATGTTTTGTGCCCTTGTAGTGGGCCAAGGCTTGGCTCTGTGAGGAGAACAAATAACAGGCTCGATTTAGCGCTGGGAAAGCAGCTCAACACAGAGCCAGGATGAAATATAATATGAGAACTAGAGGAGCATTTGATATGTCTTTCTGTCCAGCAAAAAGTGGAAACAAATCTTCTAATACAAAATTGTTAATAAATCCAGGTACTTGGTTAGTCATTTAAATGCTTTGTTTTGGCAGTTGTTTTTATCTTTTTACCCAAAAGGATTTAACATAATGAAAGCACCATTGGAAATAATTAATTGTTCCATATAAAGGATCTGTTTAAAAAAGCCTTGATGTCCATAACAAATAAATAAATCAAATGTATTAGTCCCTGAATAGTTATTAACATTTCAAATGTGTCGGGCTATTGTAACTAAGAGACGTCAATACAGTGACAATGTGATTATGAAGCCTATTTCTTCATTAATAACAATGAAGAAATAAGTGACTCAGATATTTGTGTGACCCTCGATGTATAATTTATGAAGCTGCTGTTTGTTTTAAAGTCTGATCACGTAGCGCCACTAAGTTTCACCTTCAGGAAATACTAACCCAGGCACACAGAAGAGACTTTGAACTGTCCTTGTTTACCTTTGCTCATGCCCGTGCATACTTCGCCTGTGGCAGGAACGAAGGTATCAGGAAAAATGCAATTGCCTCTCGGAATAAATAAGCAAGCCAACCACGCATCCCGAGAAGACATTTGGAAGAATCTTTATTTATGGACCCCAGTGGGGACATTCACTAAAGGCTGAAAGAGCACATTCCAGGTGGTCCTCTTTGCATTACAATTTAACCAAAGAAGTATTCCTTTCCTTTCCTTTTGTTCCTCTTCAGCAAGAACAGCCAGTTATTTTTAGACCGTGGGGGATGGAGTACTCTGATAAGTTTAACGCAATCACCAATCACTGTGACTACACCCAGCATGGAAATAGCCCATGTATGCCAATAAATCCCCCAATCAAAAAGTATAAATTAAACTCCTAATTCCAAAATGTAAATAGATATTTTCGTCAAATGTATATTAATATAAAAAGTTTACTATTTTTATAATTTACTGTCAATGGTTTTAATTTTGTAGTTCCTCAATGTGGAGCCAATTTTTGTGATTTTGTATACTTCTGGGTAGTGGGTACTGCTCTGAAGCGTGTCATGTGTTTTTAATGTAAAAATAACCCAGCAGCTATGTCAAATAGGTGCTGTTTATTTCCCTCTGAAATATAATGGTGTGGAAGAATAAAATAGCCTAAACTGTAATATTTAAGTAAAGTACATGTACCAAAATATGTAAAGTTATGTAGTTACATTCCTCTACTGGTTGTAAGCAATGGTAAGATTGGTCTAATTGTGAGAAAATAGGCTCATTATTTGTGACAAAGCTCAAGCATTTTATTTTAGTTAAGGTAGGTATCACTTAAATTATCTTAATTTACTTCCAATATTGATCTAATATCTAATATCCATTGTGAACTTACAAGTGTATGTGAATGGTTAATTTAGAAAGACAGGTAAAGAGATTAATTATGTGGGGAGAATACATTTAGTTCAAATATTTTGTTGGCAAAGGTAGTTTGCGAAAAGGGCTTAAACGTTTTCCGTTCATTCCAATAAAAACATTTTTGGATAAGGCGTCACTTTTTCAAACTGAGTGCACATCTTGTTCGGGCGTGAAACTATTCATTTTGACCCACATTCATCACTCTCCAGGTACTGAAGACATAACTTATATTTTGTCATGGGACTCAGGTGATATGAATGATTGTTTAATGCAACTGCGCCATAAATCCATCTTTCATTAGAGAAATGGAGCGAAAGAATTGCCTGAATTCCAAGGCTGACACATGCATGATTAAAACTGTGAAGGGAATCATTTGTTTTCCTTGCAGGTGAGCTGTGAGGGGGGAAAAGACATCAAACAAAATCATAGTCGGAGGGTTTTAAGATTAAGAGGGGCTGTCTGGAAACTAAAAGGTCACCATGTAAATCTCCATGTATCAATCAACAGTCATGAGAACTGGTTTTGGCACAGTAAGTAAACCTGAATTTGAGTGTCAGCTGAAGTGTAAATCTAATTCAGTTCTTCCATTAAAAGCTCTGACACATTTTTGCTAAACTGGCTTCTTATGAGCAATGGGCTTGTACCTGAAAACACAATGTTTGGGGTATTTTCAGATGAGAGACTTCTGCATTTGTGCTTGTGGTGTGCTCCTGTGTGCTCAGGCTTTATTGATATTTGAACTGTTAAGTCTTAACTAAATATAATTCCTGACATCATTAACAACATCACCCATATCATCAACAATTTCCAACATCATCAACAATCTCATCCACTTTCAATATCAATCTCAGCCAAGGATGAGTGCACTAGACACCCACCAGTACAAAGCATGAGATCAAATTAAATTAGGGTTCACAGCTCACAAGGGTACATAGTCATTAGTAGATGGCCCTTCAATCTCTTCTTGAAAGAGGCTCTGGACTCTATTTCAGCAAGGTAGTTTTTTCAATGAGTTCCATTCCTTTATAGCTCTATAAGACACAGAAGATTTCAGAAGATTTGTCCTGGGTTTAGGTGCCAGTAGATGGCCTGATTCCGCCCATCGCACGCTGATCATTATTTCCGTGTTAACAATGGAATAAATAACTATGTGTGATGTGAAAGAAGCTACTAAAATCCACAGAAAATGGCCACAAATGCATAATTTCCCCTAAGCTCTAAGGACCGATTTGGTTTAATGGCCCTTAACTTTATTGTTTGGGTTTATTCTCACAACACTCATCAGCTTTGCCTGTTTCTGTTTTTAACAAGAAAGCTCTCAATAGTGGAGTATTTGCTGCATCAAAGCCAGATATACGAGTAAACAATTAGACAAACGGACCAGAGGCCTGTACTACGAAGCAGGATTTTCGCTTAGCGGGCTAACTTCAGGGAAAACTCGGGCTTTTCCGGTCCTAATAATGTATGCAGTATTATTTTAAGCAACACATTAAGTTGAGAAAACACTCGAGTCAAATGTAATTAAAGTCAGTCTTAAACTGGGCAGTGAAATCATGAACCTGTTAATGTACGCATTCAAACACTTTTTCTTTTGCCAGCTGTATTCACCTTGCAGGTGCATTTATGTGGCTTTTATCCTGGATAAAGTGTTTAAGTCATGGATGTTTAAAGTTGAACTTCTTCATATTTGACTAATATTAAAGTTCACTTTTCATTCAGGAAGTATGACGCTGCGGTGTCAGTACGCTTCTCCATGTTTGTGATTGGTCGAATGCTACCACCCCTTTCATGTGAACGCGCACCTAACTAGATAGGGCACGGCTGGCTTGAGCGCAGGGTCGGCTCTAGAACAAATCGAATGGGGGGGCAATCATTTACAAAGGGGGGGCACAAACTGCCGTCAACAACCACCACACAAACACCAACGCAACTTCAAAAAACATGCTGTAAAGTCTATTGTCTTTCACACACATTGTAGTGCTATTTTATAGCGCACCTATGACTTGTGCATACATGCACGGTTGTGGCACGACCACCAAAACAGAAACATATAAGGACATAGGCCACAATATAAAAAGGGTGCAAATGTATTTAGTATCCTATCCATGTGAACATGTTTTAGGTGGGTGTGGACCTAACCTCCTCTAGGAGGGTCTGGGGGCATGCTCCCCCGGGAAGATTATTTAAAAAATATTAAAGTTAAATGCATCAATCTGGTGCACTTTGAGTGCAACATTAGGAGATATATGGATAGCCTACATCTCTCAGCATCCATATGAAACAGAACTGTACACAGATTTACTTTTTCTTTATGGATATTTTACTAATCACTCCCCTTGTAAACTGTATTCTTGTGTTACTGTCCTATAGTATTTCATACCCGTTTTTTATTTATTCTCTTATTCTTTAATAACTATAATGATCATATAAAGGTATTCCTTGCAAATACATAAATGGTGAGCAAACCGTTTGAGACCCACTGAGATAACCTACACTAAAGTGAACTATCTAAACACTGAGAGAGTCCTTACCTCACTGAGCTGACGTTATAAGATCCTCTCAGTCTGACAGGAGAGGACTCTCCTCCACATTGGTGTAGAAACAGCTCTTTATATCCGTTAGCATAGCTAGCTAACCAGATGCTAACATCAACATTCCACGTTACCGCTTGCGCACTCACAAAATGCGCTCGTGCCACACACACACAGAGAGCCGAGCTTGAATGAAACACAGAGACCCAGAAGTAGGCTACTTATACTGTATATCATATTATTTTCGATGGCTTTACTGTATAATCAGTGTAACAGATGAACAGATCGCCACTGGGCTTTCATCTAAACACACAGCCACGTAATGATAACAAAACAAAGGTCGGGGGTCATTGGTCAAGCAACACACCAATCAGAGAGCAGCAGTGAGCACAGCTCAGGCTGTGTTTTATATTTGTATTCTTTATTTATTTCTTTTTTTTTTAGTGGAAACGTTTTCACTTATATGATTTAGAAGAAAAAAAACGGCAAAGTGGCAAGGCTTGCCCACCCTGCTTTGGGGGGGCACAGTGACTCATTTGGGGGGGCATGGCCCGCTAATGACCCCCCATGACGCCGACCCTGCTTGAGCGATCCACTTGATAACCCGCGTCGTAGGACCGCTTAACGAGAGCGCGTATGTTTTGGATTAGGCCAACCGGCTAACTCAAACATATCCAGGTTATGTTGAACCAGCTTCGTAGTACAGGCCTCAGGTCTTTGAATGAGTGTGTTGGTCTGTGTCTGCTGGATCTGCAACAGTTTGTCAATCCATTAACACTTTCAGAAGGTGATAATATGTCAGTGTTACCTTTACAGCCATGTAGGGAAACGGGGGGAAAAGCAATGGATGCAGGTGAATGAAAGCACCGTTATATATAATTTAATACACTTTTTTTTACTTAAGGAAATAAAACCTACTACTCTTCCAATGTCAATTTCCTTTTTAGCTTATTAGATAGATGAGGTGAGGTTAACACTTGAGGTCATCTGAAAACTATTTGCTGTAACTTCAGTGGTTCAGTCTTTATCAGATCATTGCAAGACATAGTTTAACGTTTCATAACCTGCATCGGTGCCTTTATTTAGAATTGCGTGTTACATCAGATATCCTCCTTTTTTTATTTAGGAAATTATATTCTCAATCCCAAATTCATGATAAAAAAATATGGCATGTGGATAAGGATTATAAGAACACATGTAATTGAAGGTACTTTAAATACTAATAGTAGTCTGTGGTTTTGCGTCACTACATATGTCAAACAATCTCAGTAAATGGGAGAGGCAGGGTCTTGGAAGAAGACAAGACCAACTTGAATTGTTAAATTAAAATGTATGAAATCTTTCCAAATCCATCAGGAAAAACAACATGACTGAAAAAAAATCACATGTTTCACAAATTAATTACAATATCAAACTGGTCGATGTTTTGCTGAACAAAGAGGGAACATTTTAGGTTTTAAGAAAAGGGGGGTTTCCAAAACCTGTTGTTCTGGTTTCTATATTAAATTAACTCAACGTGATTGGAAAAATAATGAGCAATTTCTTCCATAAACAGACCATTCGGTAGTCAGGGTGATTCAGAATAGAGCAAAAGCTTAACACGGATGAAAGTTTACAAATGTGTTTTTTCATTTCATTGACTCCTGCTCTCCAACAAATGCTCATAAATTGAATGTTGAAACAAAAGCATCTCCAAAGCTCAACATTGATGTGATGGAGGATTACCAGCTTAAATCATTTTTATTTCTGGAATAGTTTACTCAGAGTATTTAAGCGCGGATTTTCCCATTTTAATTTATGGAGTTTGAGTCTTCTACCACTTTTATTTGTGGTTCTGAATTTAAGCACCATATTAGCCAGGCATACATTTTTGTGACCTAGTTTCCGTGAGTGTATGCCAGGGTGTGTAGTCAGTTCTGTAGAATTGTAAGGATAGTCTATACCAAAAAGAAATAAACATTTTATGAATGTTTCCTCCTCTGGCACCAAGCAGCACCTGGTTTTATTGAGTGATTATTTTCCCTGAATATACTTTAGTTACATCCAAATACAACGGTGAATTTGTCTATGGATACATGTCTGAAACCAGCAGTCCTTATCTTCCCACTTGAGTAAACTAATGATTTGTTATAAATGCAGAAAGGTTTACTCAGCATTAGAAAAATCAACACCTGTGTTGTTTACAAACCTTTTCAGAACTCACTTTTTAAAGAGCACAGATTCCTCCCCACTTAGTGAAGTCAGATGAGTTGACAGGTGAATGTAATCACCAAGCTGATTCCACCCAACACACATGTGCGTTTAACCAACAGGGAAAACAAGTCCCCTGTTGAAAATGATACTTAGTAGTAATGTTTTATCAGCAAAAAGTAACATTTACTTCGATCTGCTAAAAAACAAAGGCTACAGTATAATGTCATTGCTCATGCATTAAAGTTAAAAAGGTGGAGCTAGGTGTTAACCTTTTTAAAAAACACAGATAGCAGAGTGCAGTACTCAAAACAAATGTATTAATTGGCAAGGATTTATGTACAGTAAGATCTGCTACACAAAATAAAGAAACTCTGGACTTACAATTTAGCAATTGCCATGAATAAATCATACTTTGTTCATAGTTAAAATGTTTAATAAGCAATATAACTGCAAAACAACCGGTTAAAATAAAAAAGTCAAAAAAGTACAATGAGGCAGAGCCCAATAAAGAAGCATTCAACATGAACATGATGCCTTGTCCTTTGATAAACACAGGTAAAGTTCAGGCCTTGTGATGAACATTTTAAATTAAACTTGTGTGTCCAGAATTCATTTGACAGAGCAGGACTAATGAGAAAATCATGCCCAGGATCATCAACATGCCAAACCCAAACGCAATGCCCATGAGGGTTTCTGATAATCTGTCCAACCACGTAAAAATGTACGTCATACACGGTGTCGCAAAGATCTCACGTGCTTCCAAAACAGTGCAGTTTCTAGAGGTGTCTGTGCAGTTACAGGAGTCTGGCACCACTGTGGCGTTTCCCCAATCAAGATGTCCAACGAAGAAACCACAACAGAAACTGGTCCTTTCCACATCCTGAAAGGCAAGCTGAAAATCTTCAGGCTGTTCGCTGAGCGGTAGCAGATCTTTCATGTGTTTCTTCACAATCTCCTGGGAAGATGCGGTTCTCGATATGGCTCCCAACACTCCCACAGACAACAGCATGAGGAACATTACCAGCAGGCTCATGAAGAAAATGGCTAGCAGGCAGCGGCTCTCTTGAAGAGCTCCACAGCAGCCCAGGAAGCCAAAAGCCATGGTCATGGCACCGACAAAAATCAGGAGGTTTATGGCTGGGAGAAGCTCATCTGTGATCTGGAAGGCTGCTTTGTTGATCCTGACATATGCAGAGAAACTGAGAATACCAATTCCTCCCAGGAAAAACAAAAGGTTGAAGTTGAAGAGAAGGTATTTGACGAGCTTGCTGACTGCCATTGTGCCAGGAGGTTCAACTCAACCATGAAGCTAATGAGAGTCTCCCTGCAGCTGGGATCTGCTGCTTAAATAGGGGTGGGAACCTTTGACTCTTTGTTGGGGGCGTGTTCAGGTTGTTGGGGATCACCTTGTTGAAGCAGAGAACAGAGAAAACTGACCAGTGGAGTTAAGAAAAGATGTCCTCCCAATTATTCAAGCTATCCAATCACAGAACCTACTGGTGCTATCACACTAACATTTAGGGAGACTGTTGTTACTCAAACAATGTCATGGCATGGAGGGACAGGAAATCATTCAAATCTAACAAATAAATATAAGAAAATATCTAGATCCAAAGGTTATTTTCCTTTGAATATGTATTACTTTTCATGTGGCCATTACTTTAAAAAAAACAAACAAGAATGAAAGTAAAAAGATTAAAGGTGGGGTATGTAATTTATTTCAGAAACGCTTTTTGTTATATTCCATGGAATGCTCTTAACATCCCGATAGTAATGAATATATTAAATGTTTTGACAATAAATACATTAAAAAAATTCTGGTCCTCGTCCTTCAGCCCAGCAGCAGCCTGATCGTCGTCCTGCCAGCAAGGATCTCCCTCTCCCTGATGATCAACAACCTTCAACTCCTGAAGACGACTCTCCATCCCGGTCAGGTGAGGGTAGATTAACCATTGACAGTGATGTAGAGAGTGAGTACAGTTCTGACAGTGAAAGCGAAAATGAGCAATCATATGAGAGTGCGAGCGAAAGCCCAAGCTCTGATTCCAGCCCTGTCAGCCTTACAGCTGGTCAGCGAGTCAGCATGCCCATCTACTCGCCCCCTGAGAGTAACTCGGGGTCCTTCTCACCAACTCCGGAATATCCAGACCCCCCGAGGGAGGCTCAGGGGGAAGTCCCGTCTGAGGTCTCAAAAAAGAGACCTGCAAGTAGAAACTTGAACTTAAATGAAAAACGGGCAAATGTAAATACATCACCATAGTTCATTTTATAAACCAATATGAGCTTCTTAAATGTCGCTACCTGGAATACACGTGGTGTTCAGTCTAAAAGACTTTCGAGAAAGGAAAATTCAATATTTATTAAACACAAATTATTACTTCCTCTTTACGCGAGAACTTAGACTGAATACCACCAGTGATGTTGATGTGTGTAAAATGTGGCATAAAGGAAAAAGTATTATATCCATCTGAGAGAATAGAGCTGACGGAGTTGGCATTTTCTTCAAAGATAAAGACATAACTATTATTGGAAGAAGGGACATAATCCCAGGATTGTTTTTATAGCAAGGGCGGATATTAGGTGGTGATTTTAATACAGTAACAGAATACATAGATAAGAATGTGATATAGATAATTACAGACATTTAACTATAATGAATACTGATTATAAGATACTAGCAAAAATAATAATGAATAGATTAACAGATATACTAGATCAAATAATAGATAAAGAGCAAACATGTGCCATAAAAGGTCGCCTTATGTGGGACAACTTATCAACAAACTAAGAAGAAGAAAAACCCTGGACACATTTTGAGTCTGTGACCGCACTGAGTCTCACTGGAACATAGACGTGCTCTCTGTTTATGTTATTTACATATTTATGCATTGTGTGTTGTGTGTATTATTAATGTAACTTGTGTATATTATGTACTGCCCAAATCATTTAAATAAAGTTTAAAGAAAAAAAAGAGGGACAGGAAATCATTCAAATGTAACAAATAAATATACAGGAAAATATATAAATCCAAAGGTTATTTTCCTTTGAATATTTATTACTTTTCATGTGGCCATTACTTAAAAAAATAAAAAAAAAAAATAAGAATGAAAGTAAAAAGATTAAGCATTTTATAATGGTAAAAGTAAATAAAGTGTGTTTGGGTTCAAAGACACCTGAGGTCTAAAATCGTAAACCGTTTAAAAACTCAAACAGATTAAAATCTATGTCTAACTGGAACAGACATAATGTATTGTTTTTTTTGCAGCAGATGGGAGCTGTCTATAGCTAAAAATCATGTTGATGAACAATCATAAAGTTGGTAAAAGTTGAGAAATCAGTGTATCCTGGAGCCCAAACAAAGGAGGAACAGTGTTTAGGATGCACATGTATCTAACAAGCAAAGAAGACTTATGCTTTTGTGTTTTTTGTGCTTTCGACAATTGCTTCAAAGCAACAATGCTTATTATTATCAGTGGTGGTGATGGCGTAGTGATTATTTTTTTGCATACAAAATTCTAAAGAAATGCACTCTGTTTTTAACACCCCTTACTTTAGATCTGTGCTGTTAATATCTTGCCTTCAAGTTTTCTGTTGTTTTGTTTCCTTTAATTGATGTGAGGCCCTTTCTTGGCAAGATACATTGTTACATTCAGTTTTGTCTCATCTTATTCACACACACACTCAATTATCTCACTTTCTTTAGACTTTAATGTCAATTAACATATAAAGAATTGACCTTTTCCAATTATTGATATAATCCGCACCAGGGTACTTCAAACTACGGCCTGTCTGAGCTTTGAAAACAATGGCTGCTATTGCTGATTTATTGTCATTTAAATGTGTTGTGAATGCTGATTAATTTAAGGGTAAACAACACTATACTGGAGGTGGAGCTAGGTTTGACCTTTTTTAAATATTCAGTTAGTTAAGGGCAGTACATACAAAACAGTATTACTTTGTGAGGATTTACACAAATGAAGAAACCTACAATTTATCAATTTACATTTAATAAAACAGCTTTTTCCACAGTTAACATTTGTATTAGAATCAGAAACAGGGTCATTACCAGGTAGGTTTACACGTACGAGGAATTTGACTTGGTGTTGTGGTGCATACATAAAAGTAAAACAAGAATTAAAAACACAGGTAGAGAACTAGAAAAATATTAAATACAATTGTTGAAAAACGGTTTGAAAAAAATTAAATGTAGAATGAGGCAGAGCCCAGTAGAAAAGCATTCAACACGAACAGGATGCTTTGTCCTTTGATAAACACAGGTAAACTTCCGTTGTGATGAACACTTTAGAAAGAAAGAAAGAAGCTTTTCTTTCCATCACGCAGCTGACAGAACAGGATCGATGAGAAAATCACGCCCAGGATCATCAAGATTCCAAATCCAAACGCAATGCCCATAAGGGTTACTGATACCCTGTCCAACCACGTCATATAGTACGTCATACACGGTGTCGCATAGATAATACGTTCTTCCATAACAGTGCAGTTTCTGGTGAAGTCTCTGCAGTTACAAGAGGGCGGCACCGCTTTGGCATTTCCCCAATCATGATGTCCACCGAAGAAACCGCAACAGAACCCGGTCCCCTCCACAATCTGAAACGACACCTGAAAATCTTGCGGCTGTTCGCTGAGCGGTAGCAGATCTTTCATGTGTTCCTTCAACATCTCCTGAGCAGATGCGGTTCTCGATATGGCTCCCAACACTCCCACAGACAACAGCATGAGGAACATCACCAGCAGGCCCTTGAATAAAATGGCTAGCAGGCTCTCTTGAAGAGCTCCACAGCAGCCCAGGAAGCCAAAAGCCATGGTCATGGCACCGACAAAAATCAGGAGGTTTACGGCTGGAAGAAGCTCATCTGTGATCTGGAAGGCTGCTTTGTTGATCCTGACAAGTGCAGAGAAACTGAGAATACCAATTCCTCCCACGAAAAACCATAAGTTGAAGTTGAAGAGAAGGTATTTGACGAGCTTGCTGACTGCCATTGTGCCAGGAGGTTCAACTCAACCATGAGGCTTAATGAGAGTCTCCTTGCAGCTGGGATCTGCTGCTTAAATAGGGGTGGGAACCTTTGACTTGTTGGGTTGTTGAGGATCTCCTTGTTGAAAGTAGAGAACAAAGAAAACCTACCTGGTGGAGTTAAGAAAAGATGTCCTCCCAGTTTTCAAACTATCCAATCATAGCACCTCCTGGTGCTATCACATCATCCCTTAGGGAGACTGTTGTTACTAAAACAATGGCATGGAGGAAAACAAATCTTTTAAATATAACAAATAATGATTAGAAAATATCTTAATCTGATATTTTCTTTCCTATGAATTTGTATTACTTTTCATGTGTCTTTTACTAAAAAAAATAAAAAAATCCAGAAAATCACATTGTCTGAATGTATTTGCAAATTATGGTGGAAAATAAGTATTTGGTAAATAACAAAAGTTCATCTCAATACATTGTTATATACCCTTTGTTGGCAATGACAGAGGTCAAACGTTTTCTGTAAGTCTTCACAAGGTTTTCACACATTGTTGCTGGTATTTTGGCCCATTCCTCCATGCAGATCTCCTCTAGAGCAGTGATGTTTTGGGGCTGTCGCTGGGCAACACAGACTTTCAACTCCCTCCAAAGATTTTCTATGGGGTTGAGATCTGGAGACTGGCTAGGCCACTCCAGGACCTTAAAATGCTTCTTACGAAGCCACTCCTTCGTTGCCCGGGCGGTGTGTTTGGGATCATTGTCATGCTGAAAGACCCAGCCACGTTTCATCTTCAATGCCCTTGCTGATGGAAGGAGGTTGTCACTCAAAATCTCACGATACATGGCCCCATTCATTCTTTCCTTTACACGGATCAGTCGTCCTGGTCCCTTTGCAGAAAAACAGCCCCAAAGCATGATGTTTCCACCCCCATGTTTCACAGTAGGTATGGTGTTCTTTGGATGCAACTCAGCATTCTTTCTCCTCCAAACACGTCTAGTTGAGTTTTTACCAAAAAGTTCTATTTTGGTTTCATCTGACCATATGACATTCTCCCAATCCTCTTCTGGATCATCTAAATGCTCTCTAGCAAACTTCAGACGGGCCTGGACATGTACTGGCTTAAGCAGGGGAACACGTCTGGCACTGCAGGATTTCAGTCCCTGGCGGCGTAGTGTGTTACTGATGGTAGCCTTTGTTACTTTGGTCCCAGCTCTCTGCAGGTCATTGACTAGGTCCCCCCGTGTGGTTCTGGGATTTTTGCTCACCGTTCTTGTGATCATTTTGACCCCACGGGGTGAGATCTTGCGTGGAGCCCCAGATCGAGGGAGATTATCAGTGGTCTTGTATGTCTTCCATTTTCTAATAATTGCTTCCACAGTTGATTTCTTCACACCAAGCTGCTTACCTATTGCAGATTCAGTCTTCCCAGCCTGGTACAGGTCTACATTTTGTTTCTGGTGTCCTTTGACAGCTCTTTGGTCTTGGCCATAGTGGAGTTTGTAGGTGACCAAATACTTATTTTACCGAGGAATTTACCAATTAATTCATTAAAAACCTACCATGTGATTTCCTGGATTCTTTCCCCCCATTCTGTCTCTCATAGTTGAAGTGTACATAGGATGAAATTACAGGCCTCTCTCATCTTTTTAAGTGGGAGAAATTGCACAATTGGTGGCTGACTAAATACTTGTTTGCCCCACTGTATGTTATGTATTTGATACGAGCAAAGCATGACAACTAATATTGTATCTACAAAATGAATGTATTGTATGCAGTTATCCGGTTACATACAGTATGTCTGAGTTCAAAGGGCTAACTTCTTACACAGCGCTTAAAACTCAAGCAGATTAAAATCTATGTTTGACTGAAACAGACATGTTTTCTGTATTGTTTTGAAGCAGAAATGTCTTGAGTTGAGAATCATGTCTATGAACAATTATCATGAAGTTGAAAAATCAGTGTATCCTTGAGCCCAAACAAAACAACTGTGTTTTGGTGCAATCTTCGCGGACAATGAAACAACACAGACTTATCATGTTCTTTGTGTTTTTTTAACTTTAGAAAATGGCTTCATATAAACTATGCTCATCACTGTTTGTGATTTGGTGACGCCTTTTTGCGACCATTGTTCTAAAGAAATGAAATGTGCTCTGTTATTATACCCCTTACTTTACCACCCAGTGCTTGTTTAAACTACAGCCAGTCTGAAGCTTGAAAAGCTTTGGACAAGAACACATCACACACAAACATTGAGCCAATATTCACACCCAAATTTCACCACGGTTGGAGCCAGGGTTTGAACTTCTCCCTTAAGCTCTTAATACAACTCTTCAAGTCACTTGTTGTGTGCACTCCTGTAACACCATGAATGCATTGTGCCATTATCTATAAAATATATTGTGTAACCCCCTCTATAATGTCCAGACTTGTAACAGGGCTTCATTTTTGAGTGTTGAAAAACTATAAACTCAAACTACATTATGTTAAAGCCACTTCTGCTCCTACTGTAGACGTGTATGTCATTAAGTTCGTTTTTTCTAGTATTATTTTATGTATTACGCAGAGTAAAGCAGTGTTAGTAAACAGTGTTCATTTCTTAAATATATTTTAATATACAGTGTCTTTTAAACTCTAAAACCCTTGGTGGTTGTTGCAACAATGTAAAAATACTAGGGATGTAACGATATACTGAATATCGCGGTAAATAAACGTCCCAATACCGTCGTCGTGAGACTGACTAAATCTACCGCGATTTTAAAAAAAAAATTATTTAAATTATTTTAAACACTTTTTTTTGTTTTAAACCTTTATTTAACCAGATGGTCCCATTGAGATCATCGATCTCTTTTTCAAGAGAGACCTGTCCAACATGGCAGCAAGTAGGTTACAACATGAACATAAAACAACAGAACACAAAAGGACATCGTATTTACAGGGCTACATTTACACACCTAGAGACATTGACAAGTACCAACAGTATATTTATATCTCGCCCTGTCAATAAGCCTCACCTTCTTGGCAAAAACGGTATTGTTTTTGAAGTGGTGGAGAGACAATGCACAGTTTGACCCACTGCTGTCACCCATGGCCAAAGCATATCTCTCCGTCCCACTGAGGTGGTGTTAGACTTTTTCGCTGTCCGTCATTTTGACAGACAGGATCGTAAAATATCCGTCATAATCCCTTATTACCCGTCGGGTCTGAACAGAGAGAGAGAGCACGCTCGTGAACTGTCAACGGGGGGGGGGGGGTGTTATGCCGTGTGCATGCACCTCGCAGGAGCGCGCACAGCGTAAAGCAAAACCTCCCAGACATGTATTGATCTGTACGGCAAAGTACGGTTTGGAAACTATATAATTTCCTTTTGGAGGGCATGCATAACACGGCATAACACCAGAGCCTCGCTGCGGGGATACATTGGCGCTGTTCCGAGTTTGTTCTAATCTGTCAAAATGACAGACTGCTTTCAGATTTTTCCGTTATTGTTAAATAAAATATTCGATTAACGCGACCACTGCTGTCCCAGCAACATCAGTACCAAGCGAGAGATTTTTTTCCAGAGCAGGGGATATTGTAAATGCCCAAACATCCCAGCTTATAAATACCTGGAAATGTGGACATTCTCATATTCCTAAAAACCTGTCTGATGATGCTGAGTGAGTGACTAGTGAGTTTGAGTTGAGTTACTTGAAAAACTAAAGTGAAACTTGATTTATTTTTATTGCAGGGTCTGATTATTAAATGTTTATTTGTGAGATGCAGTGGCACAAAGAAAATGCCTACTTTGTTTGGTAGTACTATAGGTACAAAAACAGTTTTTCTTGTTCCAGTCTGTTACTGTCACTTTGTTTTTGACACTTTAAAATACTGCTATCCTACTAAAATGCTGTACAAATCAGATTTATTATGTAATAAAGAAACATTTTCCGAGTAAAACATTTTTTTATTGAAAAAAAGAAAATAGAATTTGTTTTCCCCCTTTATTATTCAATATCGCGATAAATACCGTACCGTGGACTTGTTATCGCGATATTATCGTAACGTGCGTTTTTGGTATCGTTACATCCCTAAAAAATACCCTTGAATACACTGGAAACGAAAGCCAGGTGTAAGTGGGTTTTCTTTCACATTGGGAAAGAGGTTTGAGTAGAAGAAAGCCTGATCAGAAGGTAGTAACCTTCTGATACTGGTTTAATGTTAACTCTGGTCCAATCTTTAGAGTAATGTTCTTGAGTACCTAAAATACTTCCTGTCCTCTCATAAAAAAATCCTACGATGAAAACAAAAATAGGATGTCATTTATTGTCTACATCTAATTGTAATTATTGAATACAATGTAGACTTAGAAATCTCCTTTGGATGTGTATCTTGTAAACTATAGGTCGGTTAAGTAAACTTGTAAAATTTTCTAAAAACATGACGTATAGAATGTAAACATAAAGAAAAGTTCCCTGTTAAGGGAGTAGATCAGATCTGGTGACTCACTCGCTGTCAACAAATCACAGACGTAAGTCCAGTTTATGACCTTGACTCATGCGTGCATCTCGTAAAGCAGCAACAAACTAAGATCGTTTGAAAAAGAGAAGCTTTCCTGTTTATGAACTCACATAATTGTCTAACAAACAGACTTTCTGCTCTCCGACAGAGCAGCTTGGATCTGTATTTAGCAGAACCCCACAGGCTTCCTGCTCTGCATCATCCAAGCTGAAGTTTTATTTTATGACAAACTGTCACTGGAGCATATTAAGATTCACTCCTGCTGTAGCTGTGGTTTGAATAGAAAGAAACAACACCGCCTGGGTATCTGAGGGGTCCCAGCTCAACACAGCACCACCTGATGATTGACAGGTAAACACAGAGTCTATCTCTCTAATGAAGTGTTCAAATGAACTGCTGATGGACAGTAAATATATACGGATATAGATTTCTCCATGTAAAACATAATAAGCGTATCCTCAGTAATCACTGACACATTCAGTGTGAGAAATAGATTGATTACTCCCTTAATGAAAGAGCGATGACATTGCTATTTAGGGATGTTACTGATTTAACAACATGCAGCAGCAGTAATTTTCCTTTCAAATATTTTTGATTACTTTGGAAATGGTATGGAAATTAGATGCGAGGGAAATCGAAACCCATCTGCTAGTCCATCGCTTAGATTTAGCAAGCTTGTATTAACGCAATGCATTTCATTATTGTACTGAAGAGTGCACGTATGACTGTGGAAATACTTCAGGATAGACACAGAGTTTGTAAAAGGATCTCCTTCCTGTAGTCGGTTTTGCTCATGCAATATATTGAAACTTTAAGACTTGTGATCGAGTCAGAATGAAGCTGCCGTGGATCAGGATGAATCCAGAGAAAGCTGCAAGTGAATACCCTGAACACCATTGGGGGGCATGCTGGAGACTTTTACATAAAAAAGCACCCCCTGTGGACTTAAAACGGTTCCCATTGACTGTTGTTTTATCATCGTAGAGCTGACGGTGCTTTGTTTCAATATGAATGGGTAGCTTCAGGCTGGTCACTGATGTGTTTCCCCGTTCTTTTGTTTTGTAAATGGTGTAATTGGTCTTTTCACACATCAGTCTGACTACAGTTGGGTGTAACCACTAGATCGCATCACATTTTGAGAATCTCAGGAACTCATTGAGAAGCCTAACAACCATTTGTGGTCCAAGCAAGTATAGCTATTGTTAATAATAACTTATTGCAGATATAGATTTTGGTTTCCATATCGTTGTTGACACGAACAAACAGTTGTGTAGCTAATTTACTGAATACTCTATAGGAAAATAAGTGAGGTCAAACATGTGTTGAGCGCCTCTCTTTACTGCAGTAAAATAACAGGAACAATCTCTTCACCTTTCTTTTACACTACACATTTGTACCACAGTATTTTACAAAAAAAACCTGACATGCTGTCAACCAAAGTGTCACACTGAACAATCTCCATATTTGCCTAATTGTCATTGCTCTGGAAATATGATGGGACATTTATGGACCATTTTGCACATGGTTTATTTACATGCTGAGGTTCAAGGTAATAACATTTCCTATTGCTTATATCACTCATTGTCATGTTTTAGTTGTTGTTCGGAGATTGTGGAATGGAAAAGGCTTGCCTGCACCTCCACGTTCATAATGGCTGCGGCTTTGATATTTATCAGTAATGTGTCTTTTTGGCTTGTACACAGTAACACAAACACAGAGATGATTTGTTTTTTCACATCTTTTGGTTCATCTGACAAATGAGAGCCTCCGAATACAATGGGAAAATAGCAGCTAACTTTGTGTGACTCTCCATCAACCTTTTGTCTGATTCACTCTCGAATGTTATCTCTCAATGACCCGTCATTAAATCTTCATTAATCTCTTTATTTGTATTCATATCCCTCACCCTTCTTACTTTGATAAATAAAATATGTATAACTATGAGCATGTTGTGAAATATTGATTTCATGTGAATAATACACATAGGATAATGCTGTTTGAATAATTCAGAACTTATTGAAATGAACGTTAATTCCCATTGTTTAATTCAGTTGAAAAAGAAAAAGAAGGAAAGCTGAATGCTATTGATGGCATTTCATGTTCATGAATGTTGCGATAATATTGATTATTGCAACTTCTATAGGATGCGATCATCTAATGTTAATGGCAGCCGTATTTTGAAATGTTGGAATAGATGGTTTGGTATCAAGCTTAAATCCTTCAGTACTCGTTAACATGTTTACTGCTGAATTTCAGTACTCATTTAAAAAGATAAAAGGTTTTCCACATGCTGTGTATTGCTAAGCAACATAGAGGCTCTGGACGACAGCCATTCAGACCTAAGCTTCAGGCATTATTGAATTGACCTGAAATGTACAAAGACTTAAGAAACGACACAAAGATGGTTTCCAACGAGTTCCTGAATACACCAGACGACCAACTAAACGGCTGGAGCTCCCGTGCTAGAGGCCCCTGCTCATCACACAAATTAGCACCAGAACAAAGGAAAGCTGTGGCTGACGGGAATGTGAGTTTTTAGGTATTCACAAATAAAATGAATGGACAGACACAATCTATGAACTGATGATAGCTATGCAGTAAAAGTCAGAGAATCACAAGAGATATTACAGTCCACCCTGAGTGAACTGTAATATATCACTCTAGCCTTTGCTAATAGTTGTGTCAATCCATCCAAAACTTGCCAAGAAATGTCATAAAATAATGAACATCTTGAGTTGGTGATGAGGGAAATGTAAGGGATACACCGTAGTTCAGTTAATACATCCTCTGCAAGCCACACATCTTTGGAACAAAATCTTGGCAATCCATATGCTAGTTTTTGGAATATTTTGGTTTGCAAAGAAAATAGGAACTGGCAAACAGACACTTAGCCACACTACTGGCATGGCTGAAACACATTACTTCATATGTTCAATTACTTTTTTAAATAGTGCTGCTTTATTTATTTTATACCAAGGTGTACTACTTTTTTTATTTGTATTAATCTTAATAATGTGTGCCTACATTTGTATTTAATGTACATCTATTATTTTTTCTTTCACCTGTTTTCTGCCCTCTTGCTGCTGTGACGCCATAACCTTTCCCCAAAGTGGGATGAATATAGGTTTTCTGATTCGGACACGACAGTATACGTTTTTACTCAGTTTTCTACTGTTACTAATGAAAGCAATATGACCTGCCCAAACATAATTCTATTTATGTGAAGGTCATCAAGACTGACACCAGAGCAGGTAGGTTGTAATGTGGTTTTGGGGTGTTTTCTGTGTTTGTGGCAGGAGCAGTGGCTCACCTGTGAGTTGAACCTTAGCTGGCAAACGCTGCAGGAGACATGCCTTCTCTTTGCGGTGGGAGGGAGGCCGAGGGTGTGATGGAGGACAGCTTTCTGCACAGGGTCCATCTGCAGGAGGGAGACACAGAGAGAGGCTAATTAAAACAGTTGTCAACTGACCTGTAAATCTCCACTCGATCGATCACTCGGCTGTAAAGAGGAAAGATGCTGCCTGGAACGTTATAGAACGCCGGCAATTCATCTTTTGCTTCAACAGGTGATTTCTGTCTCTGACATTGACAAAGACATATCTGGAAGTAATTCAATATTTGGTTACTAAAGGCATTCTCTCTATCAGTGTTTAACTTTAAGGGACCTTAATGTAATGGCCATAAGCAAAATCCCTCAAGTGAGCACATTACTTTACACCGCAGGCCTTTTTGCATCTCTTTATTATCAGCAATTCCCCAGAAAAGACAAAAAAACATTGATATATTCAACAAGTTCTGTCTGTGTGACCACAGTTGGCTAATGCCTTAATGTTATAGTATTATATTGTTGTCCCCAAAAAATGTAAACACATACCGAGCTGTTCTTGCATTTGGTGAAATACATATTAGTCAGTGATGCATAACAAATATTCTGCCTAAAACTCAATAATAATCTAAGCAATGTAAAAGGATACCACATGCAAACGGCTGACATCTTTGTCCATGGCAGACGTTTTTTGACTATAAATAAGGTACAAATAGGGTTCAAAGCCTCACTAGATCCAAGGAGAATAAGTTCTTCAACTCCCTTTTCCACTTGACATAAGTGCCACAAGGTTTGTATCATGCCTAGCAATTGACATATGTTTCTTATGAGAAAGAGCTAGGAACAAATTGTAGATAGACCAACAATCTGTAGTCCCATCTGAAGGAAATGAATTCATTGTTTCTTTTGCAGTGAAGACATACTGTGCCTGATGCTGCGACTGGAAGACAGCCCAGCTCTATGTCGAGGGGCACAAGCCATATCAAGCTGTTGCTTCGCTGAAAATACCTGTTGGCAAGATAAATTCCTTGCGTCTCACGCATAAAAAACGCTATTACTATAGTTGTTTTAAGTAAGCAGGTACATCCTTTAATTTCTCCTATGTATAAATGAATGTGATGAATGGCACTGGCCTGTGTCATGCATACTCTCATCACTGTGGCATTAGTTGCACAATTTGGCACTGTTACAATGCAATATGTGCTTGTAAGGTTGATCACAGTGTAATATGACCTACTCTATGTATAATACTGTTTTGGTCCATCTCTATGATATGCATGTCTCGGTCACAGCTTCCCATTGAAGTCATACATTGCTTTTATTTTTTTGTTTCAGCATTTTAAGTTTACATAATATCTTTTCCTTTTTCTGCTATGGTACACCATTCAGATGTATTAATAATACATTTTTGGTGCCCTAAAACAGTGGTTCCCAACCTGGGGGGCGCGACCCCCTTGGGGGGGCGCCAAAGATCGCAGGGGGGGCGCCAGGCCTCAGATGATTTGAGGCCAAATATCATATTTAGACTTTTTTTTTTTTTTTTTAAATATAATTTTAAAGCAATACATGATTGTCACTAAAAGCCTTGTCTCTACATTACAATAAAATATAAAAAATAATTGATGAATTAATTTGAATAACAATTCAAGTTAGTAGCTATTAAAGGCATACAAAGACAGAAATGTATAATTCTTTCTTTGATAGAAATGTTTCTTCTGCCCGTAAAGTGTCCAAACCGGGCTTTTCTGGATAAGCGCATTTTTAAAACAGTCATTGTCCATGCCGGTTTCAGTTGGATTATTTGTCACAGTTGCTCCGATCAGATCGGTCTCCTCCATTTTGTAGATTATTTACGACTTTTGAATCCACATAAACACATCGCCAAAATCCGGCTTACTTTGAGCATGTGTTTTAAACAGTTTAATCCCTTTGTGAATTGTTTCCACTTCCGCGCCGTCCTTTAATTTCTTCATACAGCGGGAATCCAAATTAATTACTCCTGAGTCCAATAACCATCAAAGTCACTCCAATAGTGCTCCTTAATTACGCTTTCATCCTCCTTTAACAAAATACTTCACATTCATGTAGTTTGTGACAGTAGTTGTAGGGGGGGGGGGGGGGGGGGCGCAACTTCCAACAGGAGTCATTTGGGGGGGCTCTTGGGAAAAAAGGAGGTTGGGAACCACTGCCCTAAAACAACTGACATTACAAAATGTGTTGTGCTTTTGTTTGCTGATTTCCTAAAGCAATTTAAATTCACCTAAATTCACACATAATCTCCACATTCATGTTTTGGGCTAACAAGGAGTGTGCACGCTCCTGCTCTGCTGCACGCTGCTTGTCTGGTTGGTATCTGCCTCCCTGTGTGTGGTGAGTGGTGACAGGGCTTTGGGGAATGAACAAACACATCCACCTTGCAGAGAAAGTGTCTCAATAGGCCCCACTTGGCTGCAAAAGGAGAAAAGGTGCCGGCAGTGTGTGTGAGGATTAATCCACCATGACAATTGTGCTGCAGAAGGAAGGCACTATGCTGTCACTTTCTGTGGACGTCGTTAGGCTGAACTGCGGCTCTTTCTTTACTATTTGCCGTTTTCAAAGTACTTATATGCAGAGGTTGAAAAAGTTTTCTGAGAAATTGACCTTTGGAAAACTATTTTTTTCTACTAGCAGTAATCATCTATGAAGGTTTCATTTACCCTTATGCTTTATGTATATGATACATCCATTTTGTTTATTGATATTATATAATTGACATGATAATACTGATTATCTGATAATTGTCTTATTTCCTATTTTCATTCATCCATAATTTTCATCCATAATTATTTTCATGTTTTTATTAAACAAAAACATGCTTTGAATGACCTTTATTTGTTTCAAAGAATCACAGAGTTATTTGTTTATTGGATACGCCTGTAATGTCTAATGCAATGCATTATGGGTACAGTAAATCCTTTTTTATTAAAGTCAAATGTTTAAAAGGGAGGTAGTTTCAACTATGGTGATGTTTGAGGTTGTTGTTGCTGGTCTTTACTGGAAATTGTTCCGGATATTTGGATTTTCACCGACATTACCCTGGAGCAGGCATGGAAATCCGGCAAACAATTGTTGAAGACTGACGCAGGAAGGCGAGTAATCAGGTGCAGGTGACAGGGATGGCTGGAACGCTACAGCAGCTTGGAGACATTGACAATCTGGCAAAGACTGGCTGTAAACGGGTCTCTGTATTCACACTGTGACGGGCTGAATGAGGAGCAGCTGGGCAGGCATGGGACTGAGTCAAGTGATTTCTAGAGGAGGTAAACTTATGAGGTCGACTAAAGGGTATGTGACGTAAAAACATGGAACGGAAAATTCCAGGAAAGTCAGAGTTTGAAAAGAGAAGAAAGAGGTTGAAGAGTGGGAACAGGGAAGCCTTGAACACGTTGCTATGACAGAAGCTCTGCTCTACGGACGGCCTCCCACATCCCTCCAGGCCGGTCAGGGGGCCACCAAGAAGTTGGACACAGGATGACTTGTCTTAGAGGGACTGAATGGTAGATAGTTTAATGAGACAGAAGTTCAAACCTATAGCATTCAGCCCATAAATTGCTGTGTGGAGTTGGTGTGACTGTCAGATAGCTTGTTTCAGAAAGTCATATACATTTCCTGATTCAGCCCAAATATGACTTCAACAAGGTGTAGATGGGATTTCCTGAACTTCAACCAGCTGACCGTTCTGATGGAGTACACTGAGGCCTTTATACTCATGTGGTTCTGAATTTGACATCAGAAATAATGCCAAAAGGTGCAATAAATGCTCATTACTCATGATTTTTAACTGAGCAACAGAGTCAAAATCTATGAATGTAGTGTACACTACACATTTTGTATCCTTTTCATCTGTATGCCATGTCTCCAATAAAGTGAGCTGTAACTGTGGGATCTTAAATGGATCTTAAAAATCTTAAATCTTAAAATCTTAAACTTATACAGATTTAATTCAATCAATCGTTTCTGGCAGAATGAATGCACTTGCTTTTAGACATGTAATCAAAATCTGGCTACAATAAAATGTTCCCCTCACAGCTAAACAATTACAGCAATTGAGTTGTCAGTGAAGTGAGGGAGTCTCACATGAATCACTCACAGAGCATATGTTCACAAACAATACTCAGTGATACTCCATTGTGGCACTTAATATAAAATGTGTTGTGAGGAATGGCATTTTGCTTCAGCTATGCAGCACATTTATATTTCTGATAGGATTGTATCCACAAAGTGTGCTTCGTGTAACCCGGAAAAAAGGTGCTGGTCTCCGGGGAAACTATAAGTTATTTAAGATAAAAATTATCAAACTGCTACAACCAGGACAGATGCTACATGCTAATGCTATTAGCTAATATATTTTTAATAGATAGAATCGGAGGGATGAAACCCCTCTATAATGGTCACACATGCAGAGCACACAGCACACACAGTGACATTTGGCCTCTGCATTAACCCATCCTAGTACCAGGAGTCTAGCACTAGGAGCAGTGGGCAGCTATTGTACAGCGCCCGGGGAGTGAGGGGGGAAGGGGGTTGTCCGGTGCCTTGCTCAAGGGCACCACGGCAGGGCCCAGGAGGTGAACTGGGACCTCTCCAAGTAGCAGTCCACACTCCATATTTAGGTCAGTTCGGGGACTTGAACCGGCGACCCTACGGCTCACAGTCCAAGCCCCTACTGACTGTGCTTACAGGATGTTGTAAGTGATGTAATTTTTTAAAAAGCTTACCTTACCAAATGTTTCTATATTATATGATATCAATGACTCTGAAATTAATGTTTTAATTGTCATATATTGAAAGAATGATAATTTGTTCTCTGTCGCTTTTTAGCATCTTGTAGCTCCTTGTGGTCTTATTTGCCAACGTTTCTTAATATGACCTATCTCTCATAGGAACACACACACACAACCACACACTGCATTTATTTATATCTGTTAGTAAATGCTAAATGGTCAATCAATGGTCTGATCAAACCAATGCACTATACCAGCTCAGCATCAAACATCACCAGACGCAGTTAGTGGGACACTTTGCAGCTAAATTCCAGATATTTCACTTAGGAA